AGTGTCTTTTCCGAGACACTGACCCATTTTCCGGAGCACTTAAAGGTACGATCGACTCACAGGACACTCCACGGTGTGTACCTGCGAGAGCCCGAACTCGGTGACGCTCCTCCGTTGCCCCTTCCAAAAATTGGGGATCGAGCGTGACCGAATTTCGGGCAGAGTTCGTTGCGCCCTTCCGCAGCTCCTCCCGGAATCGGAGCTTGGACGTAACAGGTGGATAAAGCGACATAGAAGTTGCAAGCTCCTTCACAGAGAAAGAAATGGGGTGAGAGTCGCTTCACGTGAATGCAGTAGGTTCCGCCCCCTGCGGGGGGGGGACTACACTACTGTTAAAAATGTAACAACCTAATTTTGTACTCGGACTAGCTCGTCGTATAAGCGGATCGCACAAAAAGGCTCGGCAGGAGGAGAGTTCGCGATCGGTATTTCGGAGATAGCCACAAAAGAAGTAATATAAACGCAATAGTTGTGAAACGAATACGATTTATTATAAAGAAAAGAAATAAAACAAAATAAACATAAAATAAAATACAGAGATATATATATATGGATAGAAACGACGGCGCGGATAACAAAAATAAGATCGCAGGACGGACGCGGACAGATGAGACAAAACGGATACTTAATCTAACGGCGCGGAGTATTTACAAACGATATCGCGAGGTGTCAGCAGACACTGGAACGTGTGATTTCGGCGGTTTTCGGGCGTGCGGCGAGGCGGTCTCGCTGACGTGGCGAGTTTTTCTACTTCTCGCTGATTCGCGAAAAGTCTCGGCGCGGCTCTGTAGGGCGATGGTTAACAACGCGATGGACGCGAGTATACGCCAGCAATCGAAACGTGTCTTCGCAGTGCGTCGCGTAATTTATGTAATCGGTCATATGGAGAAGCGGATCCGATAATCGACGATCGGGAACGCCCGACGGAGGCAGAGAGCGCCCTACCCCGTTTCGTAAGTCGATTATCGGCAAAGAAGATGTGAGATACGGAAAGAGACAGGCGGAAGTTACACAAGAGTCGTGGCGGATAGCGGCGAGTCGCGTGTACCAGTGATCGCGGCTGTAACGTTGTCCGACGGCTGGGAACGCCCGACGGAGGCAGGGTACGCCCGACCTCTTAGATTCGTCGGAACAAGCGTCTAGTCTTGGGAGCGTATTCGGAGCAGCGGAGCGGAATCTAGGAGCTGGTGCTTGTGATCGGTTTGCTAAGTGCTGGCGGAATAGCGCGCGAGGCGCCGTCGGAGCGGTATCTTATACTGAAGCCGCCAGCCTCGCTCGCAAAGTCCCGGCCATCCTCGATATTCTTCGCCGATCGGTTTCTTGTGGGAGAAGTTTTCCGATCGGCGGTCCTCGATAGTGGCCGAAATCTCCCGACGAGACTGGCGGTTGTAACGGCGGCTGCTGTACCTGTGAATTATGCTTATTTTAACTTAAAAACGTATTCGGGCGCACCGTGCCCTCATCGCCGCATCGCAGGCTTGATGCAGCGGCATCCGGCTGGGTGTTTTTGCCGGGGACGATGCTCTTTCGGAGGCATCGTTACATCTCCCCCTTCCTTTAAAAGTGCCTGAATTCGAGGCACTTATTTCTTTTGCTTCTTATTGTTAGCGAAGCGTACTGATCCGTTTCGATTGAATCGCACGATCCACCGCGTCCCTCCAGACCATGTCTTATGGCTCCCGCAGACAGAACTCGGTAACGCTTGCCGCGCGGCAGAAGTTGCCGCAATAGCCAATCAGCGTCTCGCTGGCAAGACATTGATTGGTTATCGTGCCAACTTCCGCCGCGCGGCAAGCGTTTCCGCGTTCTATCTGCGGGAGCCATTATACTTGCGGCTAACGTGGATGGCAAAGTACGGTACATCTATAATATGACATGGCGCGACTTCTACCGGTACTGGAGGGTGCGCTATCGGCCCCATCGGTTGAGCGGGCGTCAGTGTGGGCCGGCCAACCTTGCTACCCTTGCCGGCCCACATAACGGCGCGGGTGGCGGCGGAGTCGTCAGCCAAGAGAGTTTCTCTCTCCACTACCGGTCCGTCGCCTGCACCAGGCATCCGACAACAGGTGTTTGCTTCCGTGGTGGTGGAAGGCAGGCGACCGGTTCGTCCACCCTGACACCGCTCCGTGACGGCACTGACATAGCCGGGTTTGCTGGATCGTACGGTTCAACCGAATCAATTTCCTCCAAATAGGAGTCAATCGCGCGGACACACTCATCCGTTTCCATGGCGGTTTGAGCGTTAACTAATTCCGATTTTAAACGTTTTAACCCGATTCGTCTGGTTACAGGTCGTCGTCGTCGGTATTATTATTTACATCGCTGTCTCGGTCGGTTTCCTCCTCATCTTTGGAGGCGTCGATGTGGTCTTCGTTCTCGGTATTCGGGCCTGGTCGGTCGCGGTCGGTATCGTCATCGGTCGAGGCGGGCTTTAAGGGGTTAGGCCAGTCTAGGATTTTCAAAAAATCGAAATTTTTTTTTTGGCTTGAAGTACACTTTAGGGTCCTAAAAACATTATTCAGTTGGTAGAATAGTGAAAAAAAGTTTTTTTCCCTGTCCAATCTGCTGTAGTGTCGAAGCGTTCGGAGCGGGCGACGAGCGCATTTTCTACCTGCCGCGGCGGGCTTCCTGTTGTCCCCCTTTTACGACTCTTACCCTCTGCACTAATGTACCAACGGGGCCTGTGGGTTCTAATGATTCCCTAAAAGGCCGTTAGTGGACGCTTCTTTTTGTTTTCGTTAGTTTTTCTGCTTCAACGAATTACTTTATTGACTACAGTGGTTTTTACTGATAAACTATCATTGTTAACAATATGAGTGATGACAAGAAGCCAGTTTATTCGGCGCAAAAAGGCAAAAGAGGACGGAAATCCAAAGCAGATGGACCACGCATTTAAGCACTTTAAGCATTTTAAAGCGGCAGCGTCTGTTAAATCGCTTTGAAATGGAGCAGCCCAGTGAGAACGTTGGTACGTCTGCTAAGAAATTATCTGCAAATAATTCAGATGATATTGAAGTAAATCCTAATATTGGATACAGGATGATAGACTTTTTGACAGTGTTTACAGCAATTTCTCAAGTAGTTGTTTGTAAAAAGTGCAAGTCCGATGTAGAATTCACCAAAACAGGAAATCGTGGCTTGGGTTTCAAAATTGTGAGTAGAGTGTATAGGCCGGTTCAAAGCCATGGTCCTCTGAGGGGGGTGAGGGGCGAGGGGAACCCGAGGCGCGGGG